ATTTAAAGATAGCAAAACCCGTACCAAGAAGGATGCCATGTTGATCTTGTTCGAAGCGCTGTTGTTCGATCACTGTTTTCTGAGGTTCAAAGAAGCTACTTAAATACGATGTATTCAGTATTTTTTTGCATTGTGCAGCAAGCTCGTAAAATTTTGCAAGCAGCGACCGCTTGCAGTGATTCCGTGCCCGCAAGATTGCAGAACTCAATTGTCGACCAGTCACTCAATTGTCGACCAGTCACTCAATTGTCGACCAGTCACTCAAGATCGCAAACCGAGCTCGGTAGCAAATTTGCTCCCTACTTGTGCTGCAGAAAAACACGGCGCTTTGCCAAGACTACAATAACACCGTAAATTTTAATTTTTCCTAAAGAATTTCATACAATTTTTTTACACTTATGAGAACTGTTTGATAATTGGTTTGGGTATGCATCGTTCAACGAATTGCCGTTTGTTGGGTTCTGGTTAGATTGCAAAACAAGTGAAGAAGCACGTTTTTCATTAATTTTTTTGGACGTTTTTCTGTCTTCAAATTTTCGTATGAAGAAAGATGGAAAGCCTTACAAAAATATTGCAACTTCAGAAAGAAAGATGGCATCAAAAAAATTCATTTGGCGAAAGATTGCTGAAAAATATTGCACACTATATACAGTAGGTTATACAGTGTACAGTTCTGCTATTTCCTGCCTCTCCCATTCCGTGAATGAAGTCTGCATATTGAGGGCAAGGCACGATATTTATTTTTCAAATATTCTTCTAAAACATCCAAGTAATTGTTAAACATGTACGCCAGTGTAATATGATATTTTTATAATTATAAGTAAGCTCGAACAAATAAATAATGAATCATACATCGAGTTATCGTACCACTTCGTAAACTTCGTTTATTTATGTGAGTTATCTCCAGTTAGAGATAAGAACCTGGTCTACAGCACCGGATATCTTTGACGCCGTCTCTACTCGATCAGTGGTGAATGGTCATGGTAGGCAAGAACACTGCAAAGTTGTCAGTTAAGCTGTTGCCAAGAACGTAGCATCGCAGTAAAAGATTAATGAACATTATTCCTTCAGCACATTATATCAGGAATTCAACGTTCTGAATACTTTGAAATAATGGTCCGTATTGGAACGTTATTCCGAACAATTTTTCACTTGGTTTTTTCGAAACAGATTCGTAATCAACTTGAAACTTGAATCAACTTGGTGGTAGTGAAATTTCATGAATGGTTTATTACAAGTGAATGAAAAATAACTATAAGCTGAAGGCTGCAAAGATTTAATCAAAAATAATTGCTGGCTCATCGATAAACGTGGGCTTATCGTATTCCATTATTTATTCCTCGTTATATCAACTGTTTATTTCCTGACAATTTAGCGACAGATTTAATCCCACCTGCTGATCATTAATGATAAATCTTTCTTATGAACACAGCACCGCCCGATGATATTTCACAAATAAATGTTAAAATTTCATAACGAAATTTATTGGCTGGAAGCTATTATCTCGGAGTCCAGTCCAGTATTTCATATTCCATGTACTAGGACTATTTTGCACTTGCCTCGAGTAACTTACTACCATGTTCGCATATGCAACGACTCTAACAAATATCATTGGGTGACTGCGAAGTCAAGCACGGCAATCAATTACCCGCATTCATTTGATTTCATTACTCGAACACTAGACTCGATGCAGCGACATGCAGAGCGTTGGATTGCGCAACACTTGCCCTTGTCAACAAAGCGCGTTGACGCGGCGTAGCTTGTTATAAAACGCGCACGCTTGACGATACCGAACACTAAACGAACGACATCGCTCCAAGCAACTCTACGCAATGGCCTCCTTCTTGGTGAGTTCTTAACCTGGCTTGAATTGAAAGTTTTAACGAACTACGTGAACCTTGCTCAGAAAATCAATTTGCATATTTCACCAGTGTTGAATAGTAAACAACCATAACACCAAACAATAATTTTTCAAACTCTAATATGAACATTTTCAATAAATATCTGTACCTATTCCTTAGAACCTGAGTCTGATTGCCCTGGCGGTGATGATGATGGCGGCTGGCGCCATTGCTGATCCTGATCCTAAACCTTTCCCTGCGCCTGGCAAAGGCAAAGGCGGGGGCAAAGGAAAGGGCAAAGGACACTGAAGAAAGGATTGCGAACTGGCTTGAAAAAATTGGACGTCGATTAGATTAGCAAATTCTATTTTTTTTTATCAACGAAAAATTAAACTTAGTGCGAAATTAATTTTTCGTTTCCGTACCCTAAGAAAGCGCCTGTTCAATTGGCATTTCCATTAGCCAGTGTAGTCCAAACTGTAGGTCATTACCCCCAAAAAGGTCTTGTGTCCTTTATTGGGTTTTGGAGTGTCCAACTGTGTGTATTATAGTTATCTAGCCAGCTTGAATCTAAACATTCACTCGCCAGCAAGCTGCTCCTATAGCTTGCCAGATGTCAAAGAAGCGCGCATACAACGTCAGTTTTCGTCTACAAGGACATCTCAGCTGTAGTTAATAATGAAATGCTACAGCTGCTAAAATAGAAATATAAAGAAAGCTATTTTCATTCAAAAATAACATCAATCCACGGCATCATACAAGATTTTCCTTCTTATCGCAAAACAAAAATTGCTACACGTATTTTGGATATATTCACGTCAAACCTTTCTTGAGACAAGTTGCTCATATAATACTCAGGCTGAACCACGTCCAGAGTATAAATCAACGTTCACACAAAATAATTTGGCAACTTATTGATGACGCGTCACAGGACATGAAACAGCAGGTGACGGAGAAAATAATATTTTCTTCCTTAAACCCATTCGATGAGATGAGGATTACTCAGATTTTTGGATTTTGCTCGTTCCACACCGGAAGATCAGGCGAAAAAATCAGTAAAAGTTTAAACTTAATAGTTCACCTAATAATAAAAATAAGGAGGCTGAAAATATCATCAACCATGCCCAACTTCTTCTTATAAAAACGCTACCATGGACATAGTGCCGGTTTGGTTAGTGCATTGTCGGAGTGCCAAGCATGCTCGGCACCAATTTTAAGTCAATATTTACGAATGGTAAATAGGAAGTATTAATTTCACTTATTTGCTTAAATCGCAAGTTGACTAAAAATTTAAAAGCAAAGAATAGTCCACAAAAATTCATATCTTTATAAAAAAACGTTTTCTATAAAGTTTTCTATAAAGATATGAATTTTTGTGGACTATTCTTTGCTTTTAAATTTTTAGTAAATAGGAAGAATTCGGATGTCATTACAAAACACTGTACGATTCAATTTGAGGATCCTAGCATCGGGATGCTCCCGGCTGCTTTCATAAGCGAATAACAACATATCTCCAGAAAAAAAAAACAGAATACCAGGCAATTTTGTAAGTTCCTCTGCGCACAAATTCTTGGAAATGAGGCCTTAAATTCTGCCCACCAAGACTTTTTCAACGATTTTGTTCGTTGGTTGTTTAAAGGCAACATTCTTGCTTGTGTAAGTGAACTCGGTAAAGAATTGCTCATATTTATGACTGCTCAATTAAATTATACGGAGCAGTTCTTGAAGGACATAGGGAAGAAGATAAAGTGCAGTTTCAGCAAATTAGGAGATGTGTTACCTTTTGGAATCGCAAGTCATTATTATGAAGCACAACGATGCCCCCAAAGCTTCCATAAACGAGTTAACTTATTGAGTAGGCAAAGTTTAAAAGAAAAATGTCGCCAGTCGTCCGAGACGAACACCATACAGGTGTTAAGCTGCATCAAGAGATCATGAAACACTTGCCAATCCTCCAAGACGAGTTCAGATGCTACCGTATTTTCAGAATACTTCCTACAATTAGGATTTTCAGCTGAGTATGTCTTTTGATTCGCCCAAAAACGAGTTTTGATGTACTGATAGCAAAGAAGCGGGGCCATCCATCTCATTAAAAGACATTGCTAGATCAATACCTGTTAATAAACCTGTCAAGTGCTGATAAAGGTCAGTAATAATTTATTATTGCTAGCGCTTAATAAACAGAAGTACTGCAGGCTGGGGACCGCAGAAAATGTAACCACGTTCAGCGTTCTCGGGAGCACTGCTTCGGATAATAAATAAATAATAATAATAATAATAGCGGTTTCAGCGTTTATTAGGCCGTAGGCCTGTCGCCGATTCTTAACATCGCAGAACATTCA